GGGGTGTCCCTCCCCCCGAGTTCCACTAAGGCGGGTGATGGGACGGGGGGTATCTGTGCTGCTGCCTCTTGGGTCTACACACACACACACACACACACACACACACACACACACACACACACACACACCCTGCCTCCAGGTCACTTCCCCACCTGAGCTGTGCTGAGGCACCAGGACCTGCTGCTACCCACCCCGCAGGGAAAGTGACCTGGCTGCAGGGACCCCTGACAGCTCCTTGCTCCCCCTCCAGTCCCCTAGGGCTGCGCGGGGCAGAGTGGGGGCGCAGGGGTTAGGGGCAAAGGGGGCACAGGAGGAGGCAGGTGTTGGGGTGCAGGAGGAGGGCAGAGGTTGGGGTGAGGGCGCATGCACAGTGCAGGGTTAGGGGCTCAGGAGGGAGGTGCAGGGGGTAGGAGTGAAGGGAGTGCAGGGATTGGGGCACAGGAAGGGGCAGAGGTTGGGCATGAAAGGGGTGTAGGGATTGGGGTGCAGGAGCAGAAGCAGGTGGGGCAAAGGGGGCACAGTGCACGGGTTAGGGGGGAAGGGGGGGAGCCTGGGGAGCTCATGGAGGCCAGGGGCAATGGGGGAATGCCACGTCCACAGGGCCCAGGGACACCAAAATGCAAGTTCGCCCAGGGTGCCATTTTCCCTAAGGCAAGGGGGGCATGGAGCTGGCGTGGCCGTGGAGGAGGGGGCATTGGGGGCAGGGAACTGGCGTGGCTGCGGGGCGGCAGGGAGCCGGCGTGGCCGTGGAGGAGGGGGCATCGGGGGCAGGGGACGGGGGGGGGGGGGGGGGGGGGGGGGGGAGCGGGCTGGGCCGGGGGGGGGGGGGGGAGCGTCGCTCACCGTAGCTCCTGTTCTTGTATGTGGCTTCCATGTGGTCGCAGCGGCAGGGCGCGTATTCGGCGAAGCGGCTCAGGCCGTCGGTGGCCACGAAGCAGGTGCCCACGGGTGTCTGGGTGGCCTGGGCCTTGCCCTTGAAGGCATTCCAGTGCTGCAGGGGGGCGCAGGCCTGGCAGGACGACCGGACACTCAGCGCCACCCACTGCAGCTGGGATCCCAGCTCGCCTGCCCCTCGCCCAGCCAGGCCCAGGTCCCCGCTGCACTGCCTGGAACCTCCCGTCACTGGGCTGGGCTCCCCCTGCCGCCCCCCCCCCCCCCGGTGTCCATCCAACCCACAACAATCCACCAGAGCCAACATCTCCATCTCGTCTCCCCAAGGGCGAGACAGACCCGGCACTGAAATGCAGCTGCTTCTGGGGCAGAGCATGGCAGCGGGTTAACAGGACACAGCGACTGAGAGCACCAGGAGAAGAACTGGACCCCTCTGCTCCGGGGAGCCATGGGCAGCCAGGGTCCCAGCCGAGCACCTCATCTCAGCACCTCCCCTCCTGTCCGGTCCGGGACGGGGTCGCTCCCTGCCCTCTGGGACACCCCCATGGGTCTCCCGCCCAGCCCGACTCTGCCTAGCTCCCCAAGGCAGCCAATCGCCAGGCGGTTGCCAGGATGCGTGGGCCAGTCAGGGGCACGGGCTGCGCCTGGGGCACTCACCACAACGTTGCCGTCCCAGCTGCTCACGGACGCCCCGAACCACTGGTGAGACTTGTAGGTCTTCAGCTGCAAGACTCCCTTGCTCTTGGCCTGGTCCCCTGGGGGCACGGGCAGGTCAGCACAGGCAGGAGTGCAACCGTGGGAAAACACCCGGGATCCCCCCACGGGATCCCCAACCCGCCCCACCTGCCCCCACCTCACCCCGGGGTCCCTACTCCCCCCGATCCACAACCCACCAAACCCCCAACCCCAACGTCACCCCGGGGTCCCTCCCCCTCCCCCTCCCCAATCAACAGCC